GGTGGCAGGGAGGGTGAGTGTAGTGGTGCCCTTCTGCAGGCTGCACAGGCACTGCCTGGCCAGCTGGATGTGGGGGAGGGGAGTCGGAGCTTGCATGCGGCAGCTGCTGCCACCATCTACCACCCCGCACTGCCGCCCACTGCTCCGCACCACTTTCCCAAGGCCAGTTGCAAATGCCACTCCTTGTGCTGCTGACTGGTGGTGTTTGATTGGCCAGCTGTGAGGCCTGTCAGCAGCCCATGGAGCCGCATGTGGGAAAGCAGGATGTGGCAATGTGGGCACGGGGAGGGGCAATGGGTGGCAGTGGGGGCTACCATGTGCAAGCCCCCCCACCTGCTCCGCATCTGACCACTGCCACCAGAAGGGGTACATTTCTTATAAAAGGTTGAAAACCCTGAGTTAATGTATGAAAAATAGAATTTAATCATGTGGTTGGGGTGGCAAGAGGGGAATATTTTAGCAATATTTTGGTTGGACTTGAAGGCAGCAAAATGAGGCCCCATAATAGAATGGTCATTCCTTGTACCAAGTTTGAGAAAAGAATAAAGTCGTATAAAGTTTGCCTTTTAGAACAGCAAAAGTTGTCATACGACTCTTTCTGGGGTGCCATGAATAGAAGACCATTCACAATATTGTCCAACATAGAATATAGATGAGACAGGTCCTTTTTTTGAGCAACTTACAATCTAGACCAGGGGTCAGCAACCCCTGGCATGCATGGCGAGTATGGCACACAAGGCCATTTTGCTCGGCACATCACCGCCAGCCCGGGCTCTAAGCAGCTGCTGCCAGCCATGGAGCCCAGGCTGCTCCCAGCAGGTGGCTGGGAGGCTGCAAGCCCTGCTGCAAGTAGACCAGGCTCTGTGGGCTGGCTGCAGCTGGAAGACTGCAAACAGCTGCTCCGGGCTCTGGCAAGTCAACACACCAGCACCTTCCAAGGTAGACACTGTGATTGTTTCGGCACTCCAGCCAAAAAATGTTGCCTACCCCGAACTAAACTAAAGACCAGGCTGGCAAACTGCATGCCTGTGTATGCCTACATGAGCATGTAGAAAGCTAAAAAAGAGGTATAGGAAGGGGGGACAGTTACAAAAGTAAAATGATGAGAGAAGACTTTGTATATTCATACTTTTTTAGCTGTGTATATTTAGGATTTTTAGATTCACAGTATTTAAAATTCAAAATTAAAGAAATGTATATATTAAGTGCATTTTAAAAGGGTAGGATTTAAATTTAACATAGGTAAAGATGAATCAGACATCTGAAAGATGGATGCAAAGGTGGTTTTTACATGCCACATAGAAATAGAGGCACACAGAATAGGTATGAAGTTCTGTGTGAGAGAAGGAAAAGAAGAGTTAGAAAAGGATAAAGCGATTTGAACACTAGGAGAGGCTAAGGACAGCTGTAAAAGCTTTGGTGAGACTGTGGCATTTTAATTTTGGCTACAATCCTTAGTGCTTTTTTAAAAGCCTCAGCTTCTTTAGCAACTTTAAGTGTGACTTTACTGTGGGTCCAACACAGAAACAGTGTGATATATGGCTTTAGCATAATACGTGACATTTTTAGCATTGTGTTATCTTCAGTGATCCATCACAGAATAATATGTCAGATTATCCATTGGAGTCCTGGTCTTTTTGCTTCAGGTGATTTTATTTATAGTTTGTGCAGGTGCAGATGAAGCAGTGAATCCAGGCTGGCGTATGAAGAGCAGAACTAACAAAGCATATTCTTTATGGGAAAGTGCTCTCAGTTAGAGAGAGAACTGTCAGCAATGGCTCTAAGATTTAGAATATCATCACTTAGTCCAACATTGATCCAAATCCATGTAACCTCAGAACGTATTGCATGGCCTGTGTTTTTCCTCTGATGTTGTTTGGTGTTTATGTATTTTAGTTGTTCGTTTTTGGTTTCAGGTAAGATGTAGATTGTGGCTTTTATTTGTGATCTTATTATATAATTTTAGCAAATGGTAGTATTTCTCATGTCCTCATCTTCATTGTTATGACTGTCTTTATCTTTGTCATTCTTTCCTTCCTTCATCCTTCCAATGTACTATAGGCCAAAATAATTGGACTAGAATCCAGAGAGCAGAGACAAAATCCAGAATTGAACATTTCTGACCTCTGACAAATTTAGAAACAGGATCTAGATTTAAATTTTGTGGTTTGGTCCCTCAGTAAGCAGGCATGAAGATTGGGGAAGTGGGGAAGTGGCCCAGGTGTAAAGTAGAGAACTGTCCCACAATGAGTAATGGGATACCATGCTAGTAGTCTCTTTGTGTTGAAGAAGGAAGAATAAGATAGAAAAGAAAGGAAAGAAAAGGAAACTGGAAAAAGTGAGATTTACATTGAAAGGGCAATGAAGACCCTAAGGGTTAAGGATCTAGTTACCTTTGATGCACCAGGTATTTATGTAGTTTAATGTGAATAATGTGCAAAAATCCCCTGTGCATTGAGAGAAGAATGGATTCCTTAATGTTTCCATGAGGAATACTTTGAAACCTTCATAAAACATTCATATTCGATAGAGAGGAAAGCCTGCTTTAATAAAACATGTTTACCACTATTATGCTGTGCAGCAGTTGGTATTTTATCTATTCAAGTACCATGTACTGCATACTTGCATTGCTGCTGCATTTTATAAGACTGAGATCACCTTACACTGGATGACTAGTTTGTTTATTTAACAGCAAAAATCCATCTTTCAGCATACTCAAAGTGAAGTATTTTATCTACATAACTATGGATTTAAAATTATGTTAAAAGACCAGATTCTATTTTCTTCCTCCTGGATAATTCATCTGAACAGACTTGAGAAAGCAGATGTTTGTACCAATATTTCCAGCTTCAAAACAAGTATTATTTAACATTTATACTGCAGTAGGGAATAGAGGCTACAAGTAGATTGAACTCCATTGTACAAGGCAGTGTACAAACATACAAGAAATTATATTCCCTGTTCCAAAGGAGTTCAAAACTATGATGGAAAACATTTGGCTTGCATTTATTCCCTTCAGCTTCAAGGTGACAGAGGAAATGCATGGTACAGCCTCAATAGATGCTACTATTCAGAAAGATTTGGTGCCATGCATATAACTTACCTGTGTACCAGAAGTGGAATTGGTAGGGACAGTCACTCAAGGAAGAACAAGAACTTCTGCTCTACCTAAACCTTACTATGTCCTGGTGTGAATTTTACCTTGTTTGTATCAGCATATCTATTTGTAAATGTATGTGTATTTACTGTAAATTCAATATTACTTATCCAGAATTACCTTATTAATATACACACTGATTTTCAAGTGCTATTTTCAATTAAGTTGTGTAGGTATAAGACTGCTATCTCCAATATGCTATACCTTTTGATGGCTTTTGGCATTTTAACATCCTTGAAAGTAAAAGTAGCATGCACTTAATGCTCACATATCATGAGTAAAATCTGCCACACTTCTTGAGGAAATGTTAAAATGTTCAACATCCGTGTTCTCAACAAGTAAATAACACATTATATGGCTACATTATGACCAGATTATATCTATTAGTTACTGCTGTGCACCATGTAAATCTCCAGATTCCCCTGGGAAATGAGAAAATCATTTCAGACTTCAATAACTAACAATCAGTTATTGCTCTGGGCAATAATAAAGCTGAATGCAATTACCTAAAGTGAAGTTAGCAGTGTAACAAATGAAATACAGATTTCTTCCTCTCCTAAAATAAATGTAGCATCTCCTCATCACACACTACTGCATAGCATAATAGGGTCTTCTAAACAGTGTATTGTCTGAACAGCCTATTTGAGATTTGAAATATATGTGATTAAAACTTATAAAAGTTACTTTTTATGACATCACTTGCATGATTAGTGCTGGGAAAGGACTAACGGCTATGAAACTGCAAAAGTAAAACACTCATTCTGGGAAAATAGATTTTAAAATACCATACTCTGCGCTCAGTAGCATTTCTATTTAGTTAGCAAAGGCAATTACACGAAAAGGGACTACAGAAGGTTTCTGTTCATACAAGACAGTTTGGTCAGGAGTTCCTCAAAACAGGTGCAATTTTGTTGATGAAATGCTTAAACTACCATACTTGTTCCATCCACCTTTGGTTTATTAAAACTATTTGTTCTACTTCCATTACAATGTACATTTGTTAGGAGCAAAAAAAAATTAGAATTTAATTTTTTTTTTAAAGTAACTGCCTCTTATGGTATATATCTTCAAATGCATTTGCACATATTTACATTTAGAAGTAAAATAAAATGCTTATACATGTTGTAGGATCAGAACTTTAATACATCACTCTGGAATGTGTGATTTCTATAATGGGTATGAAGAAAATGGATGACATAGAAAGGAATCCCCTTAAAAAACATTCATGACTCAGAATCACGCTCCTTTACCTATATGATTTTGTACCTTGGTACTTAGTATCAAGTATTAATTTTCTATCCTGAATTTGTTTCTAATTAATTATCTGCATGCATTTTCTCTTTGTCACAACAGAATTCAATTATCTTGAAATAGATTTCCCAGTAGAAAGTTAATCCTAACTCCTCATGTTTTAAGAAACCAATTTTTATTTATAAATGCAGTTTGGGTTTGAGCAGAGAATGATCCAGAAAATGAGGATTGTTCTAGTTTTCACATTTGGTATTGAAAAATAGCTTTCCCTTAGGGATTCATGTGTTTTTTTTGGGGGGGCGGGGTTTGGGGACGGGGTTGTAATTCTTAAGATAATTTATGTTGTTAGTTCCTCTACAGCTCTTTGGAAATTGATTACTCTTTCCATAGTATGTGTTAACTATTACTGTTTCGTTGCTTACTAATGTTGAATTGTACAGAACTCATTTTTACAGTCCTTTAAGCAGGGAACATCTTTTTCCTTGTGTGTCTATATGATGCCAAATATAATGGGCCCTGTAGCATTAATACCAATACTAATTTTAAGAGTATCATGCTGTTTATGACCAAATCTTTATGATCTTCATTTCAGTGGAGATTTTAGCTGAATAAAGGCAAAGAAGCTTTCAGAAGCTGCCCCTCATTGAGTCACTGGATTTTACAAATAAATGAAAATGAAAAGATGTGCCATTGTTTGTGCTTACTAACCCTTGGAATTGCCCCGTAAGGTAATTCTATCAGCTATTCAGAATATTTTGATATAGGTTTCCTTTTCATGTTGTTAGTCAATGTTGCTATTCAGAAATAAAATCCATGCAGCCATTAAAACAATACAATAGCATGAAAACTCACAATGTGCAGCAGTTGGGTAAAAGCATTATGCTGAAAAACTACATAATTACAGTGCAGTATTTTTGCAGTTAAATGGAGCAGCGCGTGAAAATTGTTTGTGAGGTTTGCAAAGCTTCTGACAGTTGTCAGTGTATTTTTACTCCAGTTTTGCAAAACAAGAATGAAAATAGGAGTTCTATCTACTGCTCATGGCCTGAGATTAAGGCCCAATCCTGAAAACATTTGCACTTAATTTTCAGATGAGGTAAATGAAGTTCATAGAGGCTCAGACTTGAATCTTCAAAAGTACTGGGGCAAGTCATTTCAGCTGAAACTGAAGACCAGGAACCAGTGACCTGGCTAGGAAACACTATGCTCTAGTAAATGGCTGTTCAACAAAAAGACCTACTTTTTACTTGTGAATCTGATACTCAATTAACTATGATTTTTTAGCACTTTTGCCAGCATTGGAATTGAGGGAATTTAATCTAGTAACACTAAGTAACTAATTACCACCATACTATACCAGTAGAGCATGCTTTAAACAAATTTAGGGACGAATACCTAAGTCACATTACCGTACATGTAGATGCACTAATGTGCATTAGCATGGCATGTGTTAATGGATACTGTGACAAAGGCACCTTCCAGGCCCAGTATTAGTATGGCCCCACCCTTGTCTCTGGGCAAACCTTGTTGATAAATGACTGTGATGTTAAATAGGCAGGAGGCTGCCCTTTGTGTGCCCAGATGACTGTGGGTGATAAGTACACATTCCTACCATCCCTACACATGTCCCATGCCTTGCTGATGTCTCATAGTGTGTTCTCAAAGCCGGGTCAAACTGGACATATACTTGTGTCTCTCCCACACTGCCTTCTCAGGCCACACACAAACCACCCCACTCTCACTGGGGCCTCTTGCACTCTGCTGGCTCTCACCCAGCCTCTTGCATACTGCCTATCCAGGCCACACTCACTCCACCCTACTTAAAGAGATCCTCAGGCTTTTTTATCCACCCCTCGGTCAGCCTTGGCACGGTCTTTTGGGCCTTTCCCATGACCCTCACCTGAATGGGACTGAGTGATCACTCACCTATAGGCCTACTTCACCCCTGGCCCCTCACCAGACAACTATGCTCCTTTCATGGGCCACAACTCCTCCCCTTACACTAGGGCCTGGGGTCTTCCACCCCTTAGGACTCAGCTGCTGCTCCCTGAGCTTAGCTGGCCCCACAACTCCTCCCTGCAACTCTCAGAGCCCGAAGTCTTACAGCCCCTTGGGCTGAGGTGCTCCTCTTCCAGCATGCCTGGTCCACCTCTGGGGTCTAATACCCCATGGGACTCAAGTGCTTCTCAATAAGCTTACCTGGCCCCCCCTTAAATCTCCTGGAAACCCACCTGAAGTTGGGGGCAGCGGTTTAGGTGCCCTGACCTGCCTTACATCAGGAAGGTTCTTGGTCCTAGTATTCATGTGCCCCTGCACTGCCACAGGCAGGACCACCAGGCCTCCCTATCCCAGCAGGGTGCAGTTTTAGGTCATGCGCAGGACCAATGAGGTCTCCTTCTTCCCCACAGCCTCACGCTTACCTCCTAATTGTTCCTGAAGCCAGAGCTCAGCAGGGCAATGTTTCGTTCCTGCTGGCTGATCTCATACTGCTCTGCTCTTATAACAGAGCTCTCCAAAATAAACGTTCTCCAAAATGGCCACTCTCATCAGCCTCCTGGCAGCTCCCTGCTCCAGCCCTTAAAGTGACAGACACCCAAAAGGGTGTTCTGTTACAAATACACACTGTGTTAATACACATTAGTGCATCTGCATGTGCACTAGTGTAGTTTTGCTATTCGTGCCTAAATTTAATGTGCCTTAATGTGCATTAGCATGTCCACATGTAGATGCATGCCTAAATCATCTTCATGATTTAGGATGGCATCCAAGCCTGCCTTACATCCCTATGAGAGCAAGATGACAACTCTGAGTATAGAGCCAAAGATATTACTGAACTTATACACTTCATCCTCACACATAACAACTTGACTTTCAATAACTAACACTTCCTTCAGGCCATGGGCACAGCTATGGGCACCAAAATGGCCCCAGAGTATGCCAAACTTTTTATGAGCTACCTCAAGTATTGCACTATCAAACCCTTGCTATACTTAGGTATATATCAATGACATCTTCATCATTTGGACTGAAGACCTGCAATCCCTGATTGAGTTCCATCAGAAATTCAACAATCATCACCTCTCCATCCGAATATCTCTTAAATACTCCAACAGCAACATCTTCTTTTTAGACACAATGATCAGTATCTAGAATGGTAAAATACAGACCATGTTATACAAGAAACCCACAGACCAACATACATATCTGTACAGAACCAGCAATCACCCTAAACACACCAAGAAAGCTATGATATACAGCTAAGCCCTCAGATACCACTGAATTTGCACTGAGGAGAACACCCAGGATTGCCAACTCACAAATCTTAAGAAGGCTTTCACTCAACAAAGACACTCCTCCAGAGAGATAGACCACACATTTGAAAGAGCCACCCGAATACCATGTGAAGAATTGCTGCAGTACAGAAGGAAAACCCCCATGAATTGCACACCACTGGTTATGACATATCACCCTTCCCTCGAACCTAAATGGAAAATCCTCAAACAATTGCAACCCATACTAGAAGACAAAATTCTTAAAGAGATCTTCCCAGAACCACCCATCCTAACCTTCAAACAGGCACTGAACCTTGCTAATCTCATCACCAGAAGCAAACTTCCTACAGCCCAAAACACACCAAATGGATCCAGACCATGCCATGACAAGAAATATAAAACCTGCCCACATATCTCCACCACCCCCACAATAATTACAAACCATAACAGAACCATCAGCATTCCTGGATCTTACAACTGCAGCTCCAGAAATGTCATATATCTCATCCAATGCACCAGATGCCCTGATGGAAGATATGTAGGAGAGACCAAACAAAAACTTCACACAAGAATGAATGCACACCGGAAATCTATTAAAGACAAAAATACCCAATTTACTGGTGGGGGCACATTTCTCATAAGAAAAATGCTCTCTCTCCAATCTCTCAGTTCTAATCCTTTTCTAATAGAAAAGTGGGCAGTACACAATAGGATGCAGTACAAAAAGGATAAGTGCAGAGTGCTGCACCTAGGGCACAAAAATATCCAGCACACCTACTGGCTGGGAAGTGACCCTCTCAGCAGCACAGAAATAGAAAGGGATCTCAGAGTCATAGCAGACTCCAAGATAAACACGAGTTGTCAGTGTGAAGAAATCATCAGCAAAGCTAACTGCACTTTACCATGCATCAGTAGATGCATGACAAACAGAGCCAAAGAGGTGATACTTCCC